ATCTAATTAACTGGAGTCTAAATTGTGCTCATTTAGGTCTGCACTGCAGCTACAAAGTTAATATTTCTAACAATAATGGAAGTAAACAGCCACTTGTTTAGCATCATGCAAACTTCATGCCCAAATCATCACATGAGCAACCGCATAAGCAAGTCAAAAATACTTAACAACTCAAACTGAGGGAAATGTGTGATTAGTTTGTCATGCAGTTTGCACAGTGCTGACAGGTGAAGATACTACATTTGGGGTAGTTGAAAGGGTGAAATTATATAAATTTCATTATTTGCTCAAAGGGGTGTAACAATGTGTCATATGACATTGTGATATTGCAATGCTAAACTCACAGTGTGCACTGTGGAGATGTAACAATGCATTGTAGAGAATGGACAGTCTATGAATTATGACATCTAATGCAGCTAAACACTAAGGTTTGCAAATAATCAGCACCAATCAACAACTTACTTCAATACTCTTCACTGAGAGATCGAGAGAGAGATGTGGTCTTACACTGAAAAAGGTGTCTCACTGCCTAGAAAAGCAGGTATATTGGGACGTAATTCTTTTCAATCAGCGCCCATGCGAGCAAGAGTCTGTTCCGTTTTTAAGTTAGGCCAGGCCTAGTGTGCCCTATTCGATCGGGCAGGTAACAACGGCCGGTTTATTTCTGCACAGCATGCACCAACAACATGAGCAGCCTGTGGCAGTTCTCATGTTACTGGTCTGTGTGTGTGTGCGTGTGTGTGTGTGTGTGTGTGTGTGTGTGTGTGTGTGTGTGTGTGCAAGTGGAGAGGGGGTCACAGAGTTTGGAAATATTTTGGTAGAGACAACAATGACCTTTAGTGCAAAGCATGTGTGTGTATGTGAAGAAAAGAGAGCACCAATTTATTTAACTATCCTATGTCCTCTATGGCCTATCAAAGTCTTTTCTTCATTTTTTTTAATTACTTCTCCCTCACAGCCAATTAAAATTAGTGCATTCTAAACTTTTTGGTACTATACTATAGACCTCCAAAGTCGTGTTGTCATTCTGTAGTTGGTGTCAGGCCCACATTAGGAACTTTGTCCCTGTGTGAAAAATCAATTGCGTTTTTGAAAATTGCTGCTATGGCATCCTGTGGTAAACTAAATATTCCACACCTAATTGTGTCTGTTTACGGAGAAAGCCCCTCTGCTTTAACAAAAAGAGCCGATCAGCTTGCTGATAAACCCCCACAGTTGTGGAGATCTGGACAAATGCAGTAGCCAGAACAACCCTGGGCCATATCTGAAGTGGTGAAATCATTAAATACTACATTAAAAAATCTGGATTGCTATGTATAACACTATTACAGGGAACAGAACTCATGATGGTGGTTAACGATTTCGGACACTACATCATACGGGTTTGCGCATTACTGTGTGACAGCAGGTTCAACTGCAAAAATGCTGTAAACGTCAGGCTACCAGTCCAACATAACCTCTGAGTTTAAGTGTAGACATGAGAAGAACTTGCTTACATTTGTAACAGGTCTGAGAGGCCTGTGGAGACGCTGCCATTGTAGCTGGACTCGCTAATCCTCCTCAGAGAAGCTGAGCATGAATGTTCAAACCAAACAGTGCAGTGCATTATGTCCGCTATGGTACATAGGTTGTACGCTACTTATTGCGGTGAACTGTGGGATTGTTTGAGTGCACTGAATCTTTTGTACTATGCTTTTGGACACCACTAAAAAATGGAAAAACCCTCAAATAGTGGACTAGGCAGTGAATAGGGCACAGTTTCGGACACTTCCTATTTCTCCTGCTATATCTAAAAAATGACTGCAAAACGAAAGAGGGCACACACAAGCGAGTCCTCAATGAATGTGGGTGAATGGAGCTGAATGTCTAAAAATGAAAAGTTAAAATACTTCCTAACCACTTGTCCAGGACCTTCCTTTAATTTTTGAAAGTATATGAATGTATTTCATTAAAAAAGCAAACAAACTTAGCTGTATAGTCACATTTTTCTACAGCAAACAGGTTTTGGGCTGTAGGATGTTAGCATTACTGCAACTGAGTGCTGATTGGTTAGCATTATGGAGTGCTGATTGGTTAGCATTACTGATACTGAGTGGTTAGCATTATTGCAAACAGGGTGCAATAGTGGCAATTTTGAGTTGCATATATGATGATGTGGACTACAGAATGACACACAACATGCTTTTAAAGGCACAAAAAATATATATATGACATAACTTGATTAAACGTTATTGTTGTGCAAAAAACATTTTTGCTGTTTTTCCATTTTTGGACACTGAAATAAACTGAAAAAGTTAAAAGTGCAAACTTGAACATGTCCATACAGAATGTAAATTTAAAGTGAATTACATAATTAATATGTGAATATGTAATCAACATGTGAAGTACAGTAAAACGAGAGGGGTTAAAGATACATGCTGCATGTGTATTATGACACTAAATTAAAATAGATCAAAACCCACAGTGCATTCTGTCAAGATTTTAAAGCGTTGCTTATCTGTGCATCACTGTAACGGCAGAGAGGCTGTGCCTCCTGCTGGTTAAAGTGTGGTACTGCACCGACAGGATTATGAAATATCTCAGGCCTTCAAGAACCTTCCGAGGACGCGGAGTTCACCGTGCCTACCATCGCGTCTAGCTCTCATATATCACACATTGATCATATATCACTGAGAAATGTCAAGGTGAACTCCATCTTTAAGTCAGAACTGCTTTTTTTTTGTTTTGCTGTTTTTTTTGAGTTGACATCCTGGTACTTTAACATAATCTATCTATCTATAAACACACATATATATTAGCTAATTAGTATTAAAACGTCTAAATATGGAGGCCTATGTTGCCAAACTAGCAAGGTGTCAGTAGTACAGATGCTACTGGATATTTATTGTGTGAAAAACATATGGCTATTTTAAAAGAATTGAGGAATTTTATGTGGCACTATTTATAGTATTTCTCCTCGCCGTTCAATCCCAACATAATGTCAATCAACAACATGCTTCATACCAGCAACAGGCTGTCATAAGTCACAGCCAGATGAAGTTGGTTTTGTAGCTGGTTATGTAGCAAACAGCCTCACTGACATAATACACAGCTGTGTATTCCCAAGATGTGAAAATGTAAAGAATAAATAAGCAGAGAAATTTGAATGTGGTGGCAGGCATGTTGAGGAATACCGGGAATAAACACACAAACACTCCCAGGGAAAAAGTAACAAACAACAGAATTCCGCCCTCACACCTCTTAAATGCACAACACACTTCTTAAGGTCCAATTATGTATTGCCCCTCCCCTTACCTAACACGAGTATGTCTGTTCTAGCCAATCAGGAACTTCTGAAGAAGTTACATTAGCCGGAGCAGGTGTGGCAGATTTTGGTTGTAATGAGACTCTGGAGGAAGGGAGATCTCCAGGACCACAGTTGGTGACCCCTGTAGTAGAATATCACATCACCCAGCATGTGTAAAAGCTCAATAAATGAGCAACATTTTTTTAACTCAGTAAACAAATTTTTATCATCACTGGGCACCACAGTAACGTGGTTCACAATAACTGGGTGCAGGCCGACCCACAGCCATCACATAGATTTGTTCATCAACAGCACACCTGATTTAACGTAAATAAGTACTGATTAGCCAAATCACATACTGGATGATAACTAGACATTATACTGGGCTGCCACAAGGAGGTGGAAAGGTTAAGTGTGACATACATAAAATCACTACTACTTATTAAAATTGTTTGTTTTAATTGTGATGTGTTTTTCTGAGCAAACAAGTAGATCTTGTGTAATTAAATTACTTTTTAAATATATGTATATTATTAAGGTGTCCAAAACCTTTGCATAGAACTGTATGTTCCTTGATGAAATGTACCATACCCTCTAGAGCATCACCAGTAGTACTTTCTTCTCTGAGAGTGTTGAAAAAAACAACTTATAAAAGGGCTGTTTTACATAAGGAACCAAATAGATTTCATCATCAAAATGAGTGTCAGTACCATATTCAAGTAAAAATATTCATACTGTTCAAAAATATAAATAATTTTATTATGACGAATATTTTTGTTAGCTACAGATATATAGTTTACTGCTCTGCAATAACTGTAAAGAAATATGAGTTTATCAAATATAAAGTTAATATAAAATAAATATCATATAAAAATATATATTTTCCTTTTTTTTCTACATCATTTAAGTGCAGCAGCTATCTTTTACATTGTATCAAAATTTTATGATGAATGGACAAATAGAAATATACTTGGAAAAAATCTCATTACAATAACTTACATCAATAGTGTTTTACCTTCTCCTGTAAACTTACCATTTTAGAGATACTCGTTTTTTTGTTTTTTTTTTGGACAGTGACAATATATACCTTCTAGTCTTTCTCACTGTTCATTAAGGTTGATCCATAGACTGAATGCTTTTTTTAGGACATCCAGTGTGAACCCAGAGCCGGTTTATGAGGAGCCTGGCCACTTCCTATTTCCCCCATTACATCAAAAACAGGACTGCAAAACAGTAAAGGGCACCTGCGAGCGAGTCCTCAATGAATGGGAGTAAATGAAGCTCAACGGCTAAAAATGAAAAGTTAAAACAGTTTCACTCGTCCAGAACTTTTCCTTAATTTAAGAAAGTAGAAGGATGTATTTCACTAAAAAAGCAAAGAAAACGTACCTACATATTTCCTTTTTTCACAGCAAACAGGTTTTGGGCAGCAGAAAGCTGGCATTACTGCTACTGAGTGCTGATTGTTTGGCGACCGGAGCAGCTCATTGGCTGTTTGAGCTCACAGACATCATGGACATACAGGAGGCGCAGTTTTAAACTCCTATAACTCTAGTTTAAAAGCTCTTAAAAATATAACAGCAGTGTTAAAATGTTTTTTGCTATTCAGTGTTCAGGAAATGAATGTATCCTTTTACATTAAAGATGTTTAAACATTTATAAACTATGATTTTGCTCAAATGCTCCATCTTAACCCATTCATTTCGGACTCGCTCGGAAGCTCCCCCTAGTGTTTGAGTAACATGGAAGACATTACAGAGTGGTAAATTCTCCTCTCTACAAGTTCTCTAGTTAACCTTCATCTAAGCTGGTTCATAGTTTCACTGCCCTCTGGTGGACTTGAATAGTTGTTGCATCATTTAGTCCAGTAATTGCTCGCATTTTCTAAAAGCACTCTGAGTTCGCTGAAGTCTGGCCTTTCTGCAGCCAGTCCGCTCCAACATTTCGTCATGATCTCATAAATGTGAGACGGGCATTCGTCAGGGGCAGGCATTCTGTATCCAGATGTGATCAGCTGGTACACCTCATAGTTTCTGTAGCCTGACAAAACATTTAGAACATAGCTTATACCTCCTCTGATGTCTGAAGTAAACAGGGTAAAGCTAGTGAAGTTAGAGGATGTGCAGTCTTGTTACTATACTAGTGGGCATTTTTTTACATATTGCTGCTACATAAGATGAAATGAATGTGCTAAATGAATAAATGTAAATGGAGTAGGTACTTGGATAAGGAGATCCACCGTAAGTGAAGATTTCATAGAGGAGGATACCGAAGGACCACACATCAGATTTGCTGGAGAATCGTCCATGGCTGATGGCCTCAGGAGCACTCCACTTATATGGGATCTTCTTGTCTTCAGACACATAAAATGGCTCCTACAAACAACAAGCAAACCAGCTACTGCATTACTGTATTAGTAGTCTCATTATCAGACACTTTGACTTGTGCAAGGATGTAACCTGGAATTTGAGGTTACTGCATAAAATCAATCCCAATGTTTACCAGTCCCCTGTTTAACTGGTAAAAATAACTGTTTTTTTCCTGTCTTTCTCACTTGATGGTTCACGTTTGTGTTTGTAAGGGACCTATATCTGACATTAATGTAAACATAGATCTGCCATGAACTAGACTGCATGCATTTTTGAAACCAATAATAAATCAGTCTACATGCTTCAACAAAATGAACAAAAAATGCCAAACAGTCCACTATTGGAGCAGTGGTGCAAGTTAGCCACTGCTGACATGCTGCTCAGCATGGATGACAACAACAGTGATATATGCATGCGCAGTAAAGGGTCACAAGCCCAGTATCAGATATGTAGTCGTTTTAGAACCACAAATGAAATTTAGAAATGTCACATTTTTCACACTAATCTGAAAACATCAGTGATCTTTGTCACATTAAAGCATAATGTTCGATTTCATGTAATGTTGTTTAATGTGTATGTTGTCTAATTTCTCCAGTTTAGTCTTGATCCCTATCAGAACAGCTCCAGAACAGGCCATTTGTAGAATGAGGGGCCCAAGTGGGACATATTATCAGATCAGGGACAGTTGCGCAACTTGTACATAAGTTCAGACTTAGTTTAGTTATTATGTAAGTGTGTACTAAGTTCAGGTTTACGCATTACTAAATCAAAACAGGTTGCACCACACAAACTAGTTTAACATTAAGCTTAGTAGTAACTAAATATTTACACCTCCCCCTTAGCAGATGTAATGGTGGGGAAACCAATGTAAACTACATACAAAGCACAAAAAAGACTAAAAACATGACTTTTTCGGTTAACTAAGCTAAAAACACTAAATTCTATAGGCTGTGATTTTACTCTAGTCATTGTCCTGGTTTTAACTCACAACATGAAGCTAAACACCCATAGCTCCAGTCTAGTGAGACGCTCCTGAAACAGCTGCCACAACTTTTATACTACGCTGCAGTTGTGTTGGTTAGCCAGAAACCAACTTTAAAACAAGCTGCCATGGCGTTTCTGTGGCAGCACATTTACTGATTGGTTCTGAACATGTTATCACCATGTTAAAGCGAGGTATGCAATAGTTAGTTGTTACTAGTTAAGACATGACTTAATAATTTGTGGTGCAACAAAATTTAGTAAGAGGATAGGCTAAAACCAACTAGTGTTAACTAAGGACTTGTCTGGAGCATCATAGCACCAGAAGTGTACAAAATACTTCCATCTAGTTTTTCACCTGTGACCTATGTAAAAACAAAAAAATGGAAAAAATGGAAACATTTCACTCCGTAGGGATCACTACGCTGCTGGTGGTACTGTGTTAATAATGCAGTGTAAAATTACACATGTTGAGAATGGAAAAGAGAAATCAGGATGCACAACATAATTCGGTTCTGGCAGAACAGAAACACTTTTTTCCCAATTTCTGAAAAGAACTCAAACAGAACTGATGGCTGATACCCAACCCTATCCATGACTGACAGTCTAATTTCCTATATAAACTATCAGCTTCAGTGGAGGGGCACCTGTGGTGAATAAATAAATTCTTCCCCACACATTTGTTATGTGTACAGTTTTTTAAGGCAGTAAGCTTGACCTTAATGACCCGTGCCAGTCCAAAATCAGCCACTTTGCAGATGTACTCCTCCCCCACCAGAACGTTACGGGCTGCCAGATCTCTATGGATGCTGTTGTGCTCCTCCAGATACGCCATCCCATCAGCCACCTGGCTCGCCATATCTGTTAGAGCCTGTGGGTCCAAGCTCCGCCCTTCCTGACCTGCAGACAGGGCCAAAGAAAATCGTGTTCAGCTAGCTTGAAGACTGCAAAACTTGATTCTTCACCATCTGTGTTTAGATGTGCTTTGGAAAGCAGAACCGCAAACGGCTGAGACTGTAGCAGTCAGTGGTGCAGACAGAGGATGACATGAAGTGAATAAGGAATAAGGAGGGGGAAAGTCAAGGAAAAATAAGTGAAAAAAACAGGACTTTCCAAACCTGGAGTTCAAAAACGATTAAAAAATACAGAGAAAATGAGACTCCGAACAATTGTGCCAAACCTGGCCGAAAATTAAAACTATCAGATAAGCAGCACTTAAAGCTTTCATCTTAAAGACAGAGGAGAAAATCAAGCTCAACACGATTTTGATGATTTGATGACCAGACCTCAGCGTCAGTGAATGTGTTTGGGAAAAAGCAACCAACTACTAAGACTGAACTTTGGAGGTGTGGAAAAACATCCCTGCAATTTATTTGAAAAAACTGACAGCAAGCCTCTGAAAAGAATGGAAGCTGTAATAAAGGCAAAAAATGGACAAACTAAATAAAAAAATAATATTTTAGTTGTACAGGCTTCTATGCAATTTTCTGTTGCATTCCTGCTTTTTTCCTGAAAAGAAATAACTAGTACCTAATGGCTGTTTTGACTGGAAAGTAAATAAATAAAAGGGTGGTTTCTGACTTTTGCACAGTACTGCACAGTCAGTAGAACTAGAGGAGGATGGACCATAAATGAGAAAGCAGGGAAGACAATATTCAGCAGAAAAAGAAATATGTGCTTGTGTGCCTATTACTCAGAAAAATAACAGCTTGGCTCTTTAGAAATTTCAGGTGTTGAATTGTGTGTTAAAGAATCATCAGTGAATGTCTGAGGTGGGAGATGTACACCTGTAGTAATTATTTAATAAAATGCGTACAGACCTTAAAACTCAGTAAAGGAGCAATTTTGCAGTGCCATTTTAAAACACAGAACAACTGCAGAAACCAGTATCTTTCTGCCTCCAACTGACACAAAACAGTGTGTTACATATTTCTGAAGTCATCTGTCTTCTGCTAGTTGTCAAAAAAAGAGTAAAATAAATGAGGCTGAAATGAGAATTTAGTTCAAATGAGCTTAGTGTAATATTTGATGTTTAAAAGTGCTTATCATCACACGCTGGGTAGGATACCGAACAATAAGACGCCTGGCTCACCGCGCTCTCAGGATCTAGTCCCATCTCCCATGGAACATTTTTACTTCATGATTTTAACAACACTTTTGAACAGTATACAGTAAAAGGTTAAGAATAGTACTTGAGCAAAACGCTATTCATGGTAAATATTCCAATAGGACTTTCAACATGTTTAAATCAGTCATTTTCTAGTTTTGGAGAACTGCTGCATTACACAGCTCTGTATTTTCCCTCCTCTACCAAACGCTGTCAAAACTATTTTTTTTTCAATATTTACAAATGATAATACTTACAACAGAAGAACAACATGCAATATGTTTGTGATTAAAAGTAGAAATAATGTTAGTAAAATATTACTTGAGTAAAAGTTCCTGCTGATAGATATTGAGTTCCACTGCAGTTCTACAGGGAGCTCAGTTTGTTTTTTGACCCGATACTCCTACTCAAGTTGTTTCTGGTAGCCACATTAACTTCTGCATGAGTCATTATTTCACTAAAATAACTGTATTTTTCACTGGATTGTGATTTTAGGCTACATCTACCCACCTTTGGTCATGAAATGCAGTGCAAGGACTCCTTTAACTCATCCCTTACCATTCTCTTTAATATGCAAGCCACAAAGACATCTGACTTCCTTTCCTCCTATACAATCACCGATTTGGTGTTGTTCAACAGTAAAACATGTTGAATCTGTACGTCCGTATTCCATGGTAAATGACGGAAATGACTGACATTAGGCAGTGGAGGGTGGAGCTGATGCTGACCTTGCAGGAAGCTAAGCAGGTTGCCTTTCTCCATGAACTCAGTGATGATGTAATAGGGGACATTGGCGGTGCAGATGGCAAACAGTGAGATGAGGTGTCTGTGTCGCAACTTCTTCAGCATTTGAGTCTCCAGCTGGAACTCCCTGTGGTCCAGAGAGTCTGAAAGCAAACAGGGAAACAGGCATCAGCAAAGCGACAGCGCGGACCCATCCGGAACGGACATCTCTCTCCAACTGAGCAATTATGCATATATTTGGTTTTTAAAAACTTTCAATTAGTAGTCAAAGACGAACTAAATTCCTTTGGTAATCAACTAGGGGGTGTTAGAGGGGAAAGTTAACTAGATGACATGACCGACACCTAGGGGTATAAAAATGAACTGATGGGTTGTGACACATTAGTCTGAAGGTGCATTGAATTTGAAATGTTAGAAATGATTTCAATCATTTATACTGTTCCTCAAATATGTATTCATTTTTGGCCAAAGTAAAATGCTCAGTCCTTTTTTAAACATAAAAACAATCTTGCTGTTTTGTTTTTACATAATTATTATAAAAAATAATTCTGGGGCTCCTGAGCAGCGCAAATATTGTTGGAAGTTTGATCCCGAACACTGCTACAGCTATATGCTAGTCAGTGCAGGTATCTGTTAGCTGACATGACAGAATTAGCAGTGATGTGTTAGCAGTAGTTTAAAAAATACGTGGTGACTATCTTTGTGCATCTACGAGGAAGCATGTGCTAGTCCTCACCCTCTCAGCTTGGTAGCATGGCATTATTGAAGGAAACCTAGCTTGCTAACTAACTGGCCATGACTTAATCTGGGGAGATAACTGGGTTAAATTAATAAAAATTCAGAATTGTACAGAAATAATCAAGTTGAATCGACTCCTGGTAAGATTTGAGATTTCATGCCACTTTGAATCTTTTACTAAAGAATCGTAATTGAATTGAATCATTGTGAGCTCAAGAGATTTACACTCCTACTGACTACACTTTCTTTAGTGTTATACATTCTTCATTACAACATACAATCATAGTACAAGCCACATTTCCAGAAAAGTAAGACAGTTTGTAAAAAAGCCAAAAAAACAAGAATCTGTTATTTGTTCATTCTCTTAAACCTCTATTTACCTGACAAAAGCATAAAGAAAAGATGAATTAAACTTAATTTGACCCAGTTAGTTGTATTTTATAAATATAAACAAATTTAAAATGTGATGCCTGCAACACACTCAAAAAAAGTTGGGGCAGAGGCATGTTTACCACTATGTTACATGACTTTTTCTTTTAATTACACTTTGTTAATCATTTGGGAACTGAGGACACAAATTGTTACAGTTTTGCAAGTGGAAGTTTTGCCAATTCTTTCTTGACACAAGACTTCAGCTGATCAACAGTCCGTGGCCGGCGATGTCTGATTCTACTCTTCATGATTCACCATACATTTTCAGTAAGAGACGTGGAGATCAGGGGCCGTATTACAGAAACTTCCGATCTTTTGGTCTTAACTTAAGATCAGACAGGTTAAGATAAGATTTTTCACAAATTCGTATCACAGAAGCAAATCTTATCTTAATTTATAAATCTTATGTTATCTTTCAGCATCTTATCTCAAGTTAGAAAATCTTAACTTACTCGATTGACGTCGACAATCAACTGTCGCGTGTTACCTAGCAACCGACCATACGCGCACAGCTGAAACGTAAAGACGTAATCAAGTTAGTTAGCCAGACAGCTAACGTTAGCTACCGTTACTGAGGTAAAAAAAGGTCAAATAAAGCTAAAGCGCGATAAACTGAGAGTTATTAATATTAATATTGTGTGTTTTCAGAGCGTTGCTGCTCTCAGGTTTCAGTTTAATTTTCCAAACGCTTTAGCTGAGCGCGCTATTCCTCGTTATTCCTCCCAATGAACAGACACACGTTCAGCTCTGTCACCTTATTATTAATCACCATCACTGTAATACTGTATCTAATGAGTTTGTTTTATTAAATATTAACACCCGAAGGTAGTAAGAGAGGTCGGTGGAGATTAAAAAAACCCTCACAAGTCTAAGCACCGTTTTCAATGTACATAGATGTAGCGTCATTATGCTGGTTATAGTGAACTATGCTGCCCGTGACTGCACAAAACGATAGAAACAGAAGGTAAGACGCTCTGGGGCTGTCTTAAAATTAAGAAAATATTTAGGACATTTTGGCAACTTAGGATGTTTCTGTAATACCGTTTTCTTATCTGGAAATAAGATCATAGACTTAAGAACTGTTGTTAATAGCTTCTGTCCTAACTTCAGTTTTAAAGGAAGTTGCCATGACAACAAAGCAGACAAGATATAATCTCATACTAATAATAATCTCAGACTAATATGCCCCCTGGACTGCAGACAGGCCAATCAAGCACATGCACTCTGTGTCTACGAAGTCACGCTGTTGTAGCACGTGCAGAATGAGGCCTGGCATTGTCTTGCTGAAACAAGCAGGGATGTCTCAGGAAAAGACGTTATCTTGATGGCAGTATATGTCTCTTTAGAATCGCATTGCTCGCCTCCACATCAATGGTACCTTTACACATATGCAAGTCACCCATGCTGAGGGCACTGATTCACCTGGTGCTAAAAGTCTGGTTGGTACATTTTGTCTCTCACAGTGACCACAGCACATGTTTCCATTGTCTCTCAGATCATCTGAGCTGAGCTTGGGCCCAGAGAACTTGGTGATGTTTCTGCATAGAATTGATGTATGGCTTTCTCCTTGCATAATAGTTGCATTTCTTGATGCAATGGTGGACTGTGTTAAGTGACAATGGTTTTCTGAATTACGCCCAAGCACATGTGGCTATATTTAACACAGTAGCATGACAGTTTCTCTTGCAATGCCATCTGAGTGCTTGAGGATCATGCACAATCAGTAGTGCTTTCTGGCCACAGACTGAGTTTTCTTTTCAAAATATTATGTACAGCAGATGGTGAAAGACCTAAATTCTTTGTAATCTTGGAAATGTTCTCTTTGCAGTGTTTGACAATTGTTTCACGAAGTTTCGTACAAAGTGGTGAGCCATGACCCCTCTTTGCTTGCAAAGACTGAGCCTTTGGTGGATTCTTTTATGCCCCATTCATCCCCTCACTTGTTACCAATTCGCTTGCTTATTGTGAAATGTTTCAAAACAGTGTAACTTAAATATTCTATACACTTTTCACTCTTATTTTACCCCATCCCAACCCTGAGTGCGTTGCAGGCATGAAATTCAAAATTTATTTATATTACAAAATACAATCAAGTTGGTCAACCACAACATTAAAAGTCATTTCTTTGTGCTTTCAATCAAATGAAGGTTCAAGAGAGTTAACAAATCACATATTCTTGTTTTTATTGCTTTTTACAAAAAGTCCGAACTTTTCTGGAAATGCAATAAGGAAAGAATGGCCGGAATGATCAGCCTTATCTGACATTTCATTCTTTGACTTCTCAGACTGAGAACTAGAAACGCTACATTTCTCTCATTGTTCAACGGAAACAACCATTTCAAAAATGTTTGCGGTAAACACTGTGATAAACATCAGTGAAGTAACCATTACTCATGATTCTTTACTTTCACAGTGAAGTGGCACAATTATATCATTTACCATTATTTTTGAGGATCTTGATGGCCACCCTGACCTTGCCTCTCCAGGTGCCGCGGTAAACGTCAGCGAAGAACCCACTGCCCAGCTGGTCCTCCAGGACGAACTCCTCCTTGGGCAGTTCCCAGTCATCCATAGTACAGTGGGACAGGTCCTGTGGCTTTGGCTCTGGCTTTTAGTAGTAGGAAAAACACATGAGAAAGGTATGTGGAAGTACTGTAGTGTACAAAGACACACATGATATCATGTTATGGTCTGTACAGACTGTACAGAACGGCTATAAGTTATGGAACTCTTGCTTCAAATGTTTAGAACCACGTTGAGTTGTTAGGAATTAATTTATTGTTCAAATTATGCTTAATCTAAAGGAACAAATTCAGCTAAAAATGTTTTATATATTAAAGATGACAGTCTTTGTATTCAGCACTTTTTTTCTGACATCAACAGAATTAACATGGAGATTGTCTCCCATTTGCTGCAGTAACAGCCTCTACTCTTTTTGGGAATGTTTTACACTAGATATTGGAACATTACTGTAAGGATTTGATAGCATTTAGCCATAAGAGTATTAGTGAGGTCAGATTCATATCTCATGTGCTCACACTCTCATTCCATTCAGATTATGAATGAACTGGATGTATGAATGGCATTCAGCACAGCAGGAAAAACCATTTATGGGTACATTATGACACTTTTACTCTCGGAAGTCACAGCAGATGACCTCTTCCTCATATTGCAGATGCTTTCTTGTGGGATACATTTTTTCCACTCCAGTTCCCATCAAACAAAACACATGAGCCTATAAGTGATGTCACCATACACACACACACGCACACACATACACACACTCACCCGTGTGCAGGGTTGGGTGAGGAAGACGCTGGAGCTGAGAGAATGGATTTTGTAATGCTCCACCAGTTCCCCCAGCTCATGGAAAGTGCAGTTGTGGTCCACATAGAAACCATTTTCATTCTCACAAACCTTATAGTGTTTCACTTCTTTTTCACTCACACGAACTGTGAGAGAGAGACAGAGAGAGAGAGAGAGATTGGGACAACAGATGATATGACATGAGACATTTAAAAAGTGGAACAAAACGACAACATGAGGGTATTTCACAAATGGACACTGGTTATTTACTAAGGCTGACCACAGTGTCACGAATATTTTACTTAAGAAGAAACATTCTACTATATACACTGGCTGCACTCTTGACAGTATTATCTTCTGCTAGGAACTAAGTTTACAGTTTAAACTGCTGAACAATATATCCCTCAAAAGCCACTTTTTCTAAGGACTTTACATTTATTTTCTTTATCTTACCGTCCACCATTCTGTCCTTTTTGTCTGTTGTTCTTTACTTAATATTGCGTTAGAGGCAATTATTGCTACTGTGATACATTTATTTATTGTGATCATCAATGCTTCTCTGATCAGACTGTGGATATTATCAATATTTAAAGAACAGTGACCAACTGCCTGTTTCATAAACCCCTTTAAATCACAGGCTTATTACATACTAAGGTTTATTATTTAGTGAGTTTAATGCAAATTGACTGAACTATTCTTAGGTTATAAAAGTTAGTAATAATACTCTGGGCCCACCGGCGGGTCTTGGCCATTTACAGGGTTAAAAAGTGTATTAAAACAGATCATAATTAGTTGTTGAACTGGACTAAGTGCAGCAGTATATAAGTATATAAAATGTTGAATAAAAATTATGGTATTGATATTTTATAGGCTTTAAATGTAGCACTGCAAATAGTGTGATCTGTGCTATATGTCATGAAAATGTCTTTAAGTATTGTGATATGATATTTCTGCCATATCGTCCACCTAGAACTTGCATATAGTTTGTTGTCTATGTTTATTGTATTTGTTCACTTTTTTACTGTTGTCACATATCTTCTTATCCACTGCTGGTGTTAAATGTAGCGCTGTGTTCTGAAGAAACTATATTTTATTCCTCATTCTACACATATATAAGAAGGAAGGCCAAGTTTGACTTAACTTTTTCAGTGTCAAAGATATAATCCCATAAAGCACTTTGTAATCATTTCTGTTACTCTGCTATTTCTTATCTATGTTGACATGTTCCTTAGACTCAAAACAAACGTCATGCAAAATGCTGTCTGATGACTTCCAGATTGCAGTACATGAAACTTCCATTAGTGGCAGACAGGCCTACGCTCACCTGAGAGCACGGAGCCCACCTCGTCCTTTTCACTGCGTCGCACCAGAAATGTGCCGACCCCATTAGCTGGTGCCAAGAGCAACTTCTGGGTCTCCAAGCGATTCAGTATTCCGAAAAACCAGCTGAAAAGAAAGAACATGACATGTTCACATCAGCTAAAAACATTTTTCTTTGACTAGTGAAGCAGCATGTAATGAATGAAATAATGACTGAAGCAGCAGTGACAGTAGCCTAGCAAAAAAACAATCTGAGTACTGAGCTCACCTAAGAACTACAGTGTAACTTCTTTGTATTCAGCCTAAGTTAAAATGCTAAAGTTTAAAAATGAAAGGTGTGAGCAACAGTGAAGCTGTGAGCTGTCTCACCAACAAATCAGAATTAATTTAACCCCCCAAAATGATATTTAAAAAGTCATGGCTGAAAAACATCAGCAGAAAGTAGAAGATAAGTAGAAGTAAAAGTACTGCCATGTGGAGAGAAGAACAGATTCATCAAAAGTTCATTTAAGCCCAGTAAATGTAACATGTAATGACTCATCTCTGAAAAAGGGACTGTTTATGTAATATGGCACATTTATGCCATAGACCCTGAAGGACACAGACCCTATTTCATTCAATTTCTCACTAAATATTAGTTTTGCAATTTAATTAGCCTATTTACAGAACTTCTTCTTACTCTTTTAGAAAGGAGATTCTGATATCAGCTGATACTAAAATCAACAAAAAATTCCTAAACAAGATGGACAACAATACCTAAATCCTACTAAGCACTCAGTAACACTTACTTTACCTGATACCTTCTATGTTTTTATTTAACTAATTAACACAGACAGTGCATACAAAACAACATCAGTACTTCATGAAATACATTTTCCTTTTACCAGATTTGTCCAAATGTACGGAAGCCCTTTCCAGCCACTCAAAATAAAAAAAAATCCAGCACCTAATTATTATGTTTTCTTTACTAACTGAATTGCTATACCATTATTTTGTGATACTAAGTCAGTATTTTGAAAGACTGAGTGATTATTTTGAGCTGCCAAATCATAATATTGAGATACTAAATCATTCTTTTGAGATATTAAGTCATTATTTTAAGATACTAAGTCATTATCAGATACTATCTCATTATTCTGAGATACTATCTCATTATTTTGAGATACTAAGTCATTATCAGATACTATCTCATTATTTTGAGATACTAAGTCATTATCAGATACTATCTCATTAGTTTGAGATACTAAATCATTATTTTGAGATATTAGTCATCAGATACTGTCTCATTATTTTGATACACCACATCATTATCAGATACTATCTCATTATTTTCAAACACTACGTCATTATCAGATACTGTCTCATTATTTTAAAACACTATGTCATTATCAGATACTATTTCATTGGTTTGATACACTACGTCATTATCAGATACTGTCTCATTAGTTTGAGACACTACGTCATTATCAGATACTATCTCATTATTTTGAGATACTCAGTCGTTATTTTAAGATAATAAGTAATTATTTTGAGTCATTATTTTGAAATACTATCTCATTACTTTGAAATGATTTATGCTTTTGAGATGAAAATATAAATACATATAAATAATTAGAAAGTTTCTCAAAACAATGGAATTAAGCAATTCACTCAAAAATGAAAAATAATAATTAGATGGTAGATTATTAAGCAGCGGAAATGAGCGTCCATATAAACGGCTGATTTTCACCAGTTAAAGTGACAGGAAACACTGACTTTAGTCAGTCAAAGACACTCACGGTTGCTCATCCACTGTCTGTTCTCTCGCCAGGTAGTTGGAGGGCACAAAGCCCAAAGCCTCTGTCCGTCCCTGAGGGTCTAGCTTCTCCACCTCCCACCATTCACCCGATTGCTCGACCACTTTAAACAAGTCTCCCGCTTCGAAAGAGAGCTCGGCTTCAGTCCGAGACTGGAAGGACCACAGTGCCTTATAGAGAGCCCTCCTGTCGTTAGTCTGCGGTACTGAAGGGTCATAGATGGCTATTTCTGCGTTTTCGATGTGCTCCGAGTTTGAGTCTTCATTTTTTGACGTTCCATCGTCTGTTTCTTCGTCGCTCTTTCCTCGCTTAAAAAAGCCGGAGAGAAGATCCTGGAAGTCCTGGAAACTGGGACAGAGACAGGGACAGTGGACGTCCTCCCCGGGACTTTTCATTTGGGCAGATGTGTGAGGGAAGGAGAGGACGAGAAGATCTCGGTGTGTTTCCACATTGCCTGTCTGTGTGTGTGTTAGAGCGGATTTATCAGGCTGGGCTGGGTTATGGGAGGAGCTCATTGAGGAAACAGAGCGAGGCTTTTAAAACTTCACAGCACACTTTCAGTGCAGGTGCGTAGCTAACGTTTAAAATGAGGTGGCAGGTGAGACCCAGAGAGTTTAATAGGGTGGCTGTGCTAGGAAAAAAAAAAAAAATAGCCTTACTGTATTAAAATGACCAAAAGAGATGCATTGTTTTTTTCTCTGTACCTTATATAAATCTATCAATAATACATAAACACCTCTACCTAAAGTAGACGGAGAGACAAAACTTGTATTGATGTATTCGGTGTGGAGAAAGACGTGGGAAACATACATGCTGAAGAAAATGTTCTATTACTGAACACAGCAGCAGCAGAAAACCAGCATTTAGGACTAGCTAACCTCCCGGACAGCAGGTGCAGGTCCCCTCTCGCTGTGTAATGTCCTGGTAGTCATGGTAGCAACTAATGGTAGCAACAACTATATACAAGATATAGTCTCTCCTACCTTCACCATAAGCCTGTGCGCGTGGCCGCTCTGCATGGCCACGCCTCCCATGCACGCCAAAAGCAGGGCTGCAGTGTTTCAGTCATTCATGAGGAAACGATGTACTTGAATCAAGTAAATTGAACGCATCACTTTTTTCAGTGCACATTAACATTAATAAAACAATTAATACAGACAGGCTATATATTACATGTTATACGTGAGTCTAATAGATGAGAGCATGCATACGTCACTTCCCTGTTGTCCGAAAGTCTACGTCTCCTTTTTGGTAAAAAAACAGGGAACCCTAATATTTCTGTACTGTTAGATCTGCCCCAGGCGACTGTAAATGCTATTATTGTGAAATGGAGCATCTAGGGGCAACAAGCAGGGTCGCCAAGTGCTGATGCGTAAAATGCCTATCATCTGTTGCATAACTCACTACAGAGATCCAAACTGCCTCTGGAAGCAACATAAGCAAAAGAACTGCACGCTGGGAGCTTCATGAAATGGGTTTCCATGGCCAAGCAGATACATTTAGGCCTAAGATGAAAATGCAGAATGCCAAGCCTCGGGGAGGGGGGAGGTGTAAAGCACATCACCAGTGGACTCTGGTATAGTGGAAATGTGTTCTCTGGAGTGATGAATCACGCTTCACTATTTGACAGTCTAATGGCCAAATCTGGGTTTGGTGGATACCAGGAGAACGCTACCTATCAGAATGCTTAGTGCCAACAGTAAAGTTTGGTGGAGGAGGGATAATGTCCTGGGTCTGTTTTTCAGGGTTTGGACAAGGACCCTTATACTGTAGGGTAATGTTAATACTAAAGCATACAAAGACATTTTAGATGACATGCTTCCAACTCTGTGACAAAGGTTGGAAGAAGGCCCTCTTCTGTTCCAGCATGACTGTGCCCCTGTGCACAAAGCAAGGACCATTAAAGCAAGTTTGACAAGTTTGGTGTGGAGGAGCTCTAGTGGCCTGCGCGGTGTCCTAATCTCAACCCCACTGAACACTTTTGGGATGTACGTTGATTGCGAGCCAGGCCTTCCCATGGGTGGGGGTATTAATGTCTATGGTTTTGGAATGGGATGTACAACAAGCTCACATGGGTGAGAAATATAGGTGTCCACATACTTTTGGCCAATGTAATGTATTTGTAATGTACAATTTGTCAGCCACTTTTTACCCTATCCATCAATGGTCATCTTCTAGCCGCAAGACCACTGGGACCAGAACTACGAATAAAATCTGGCCAAAAGCGGCTATGTGGTCAGAAACTGACCACTGATGAAGGGTAGGTACTTCTATTACGATAAATGGTATATTCTGTATATTGTAAAAGTATATTCATTATATTCAGTAAACATTGTGAGACAAGGAAAAGTAGTTCTCTGTATTTATGCACGACTCAAACAATGGCGTCCTATAGAGATGCTGTGGTGTGGGTGTTTAAAAGACAGCCACTGCAACAATTTGATTTTCAGCTCACTGTTTTATTCAGCAACTCAGTGACACACACCTCTGGAGGAAAGAGCCTAGCAACTCTGCAGCAGGTGGAAAACCAGACAGTTTTTCAGACCGTAGCGTTGACACCACACCGAAAATGTAAAAAGAGTCTTTTTCAGACGATAATGAGTCTCTCATCAGAGTGATATGTTCGAGGTGGGAAACTCCCCCTCCTCCCTCCCCGCACATGCATGAATCAAACAGAAATGGAATTACCTGCCATATTTTCCATCTTTTAGTCGCTTCACATATATTCATATATATATTTATATTTATCAACACTTTTCTAAAGAATTCAAATATTCAGCCACATGTACTGAAAAGAAGATTCACCTTTAAATCACAATAATAAATATAAAAAAGGATATATAGCAAATCCGATATAAATGACGTGGTAGTAGAGAGAGCGAGGACTGGTCGGTCAGGACATATTGGCCTGGATTAAAAACAAAGAAACAAACAAACAAAAAAAAAATAAAACTCAGAGATTCAACGGTTCCTGAGGTTCCTATGTTCCCCATATAGACGAACAACATGAGGGGAATGGCTTTTTAAAATCACTGAGAAGCTTCTACAAAAGGTCAAAGTGCAAATTCGAACATTAGAGACCATAATTACATTGGAAAATCTTTAGTGGGTGGACCAGAGTGAGGAGGCCCTAAATCAGTGGCCTTTCTTACAAAACAACATTTCAAGTCTTTGTGAAGGTCAAAAAATATCATTTGCAGGCCATTTTGCTCCATAGCATTTTGGGGAGGAGGATTGGTGTTGCACTTTGAGCTGATAAGAAGCTCTCTGCTGCTCTCTTGCTGTTTTTTTTTTTCTCATCCAGCACCTTCACCCACCAGCAGTGACCGCAATAATGCTTCTAAAGGCCCTTGCACATGGTTCCCAGCCTCGTTTCCTTTCGGGTCTAAAGCTGAGGAAGTAATGCACTTTTGAGGTGCAAAAAAAAATGAACAGTGTTTTAAGAGAGAGGTAAAGCAAACCTGCAAATGAAAACAGGCTTCTATTACAGTAGCACTACAATGGGGAAATAGTGAATCATTTTCAAGACTTCTGTCTGAGTTGAGACTTAAGAAACAAGATAATATATATAAACAGTTGTCAAGGAACGTGCAATGAGAGTATTCTCATTTACAGATATGCCCTGGGATACTAACATGAACCACCCTGGAGCAACAACAGTCACAGAAACAGATTTTAAACATGACATATTTGTAAAGTGTGCAAGGACCTTAACAGTGGTTTAACGAAGTCTCCATAACCTTCTAACATTGCCCCTCCGTGCACTAGCTTCAAGAAACAACTCAAGTCCTAAAACAGAGGCTGTGGGGGGGCTGAGCGGAGGGGTGAGTCTTTAAACGAACGAAAAAGAAACAACGACAAAAAGAATCGGATCCTCTGTACATGTAAACATCACACACTTCCACTGAGTCAAAAAACCAGAAAGAAATAATACAAAGCTTCACATTGGTATACAAAGAGAAAACCGCGGCTTCGGCTTACGGTTTCCGGTAGGTACAGGAGTAGAAACAAATAAAATACAATAATCATATTAATAACAATAACAATAATATTACAAAGCACCACAAAATTAAAAGAACACAGGCAATGGTTGTTTTACCACATTTTGATTGCAGACCTCAGCTGCACTTATAAAAAAATAAGTTGTAGCATTTTCTCCCCCCCCCACCCTCAAAATTTTCAGTATTTTCCTATTTATGTGTAAGGTGTTTGTACTTGTGTGTGTATGTGTGTGTATATAGGCGTGTTTGTCTTGGGTTTTACCTCGTGAAATGATCACAGAGCTCTCAGGGCTTGTTCTCAAATGAGTAATATGAACGTTCATACATTACTGCTGTCATTTCACATGAAATGTCAAAAAAGAAGTGCACACCAAGCACATAAACACTGATGCTGATGTGCCACATTAGGCTGATTGAAATGCCTGGTGCTTCCAGAAAACATCAAGGAATAAGCGCTCACGTAGGAAAGAGAAAGCCCTGATTACTATCCTACCTCCGATCCTTCTTTAAGGACTGATGGGAAATCAGCCTGGTCCCTTCAGCTACGATGAAGATGCAGCCTATTTGTGGTGTGAACTTTTTGAGGATTTTTGTTTTTCTCTATAAGCCTCAATAGCCTCATAATATACAGTCTATTTGTGGTGGAGTGTAAACCTCAATGCCACATACTTTTTTGAGGAATTTTTGGGCGTTTTTCTCTTTTATGGATTAAATAAATGTCTGTTTTTCAATAAATAAAAGTGAATTGTGCTCCAAATATATGGCTTGAGTGAGGTCAGGTGTGTTTTATCATCATTCCAGATCATTTCAGATTGCAGATGCCAGTAATATGTGACTGTTTTTTATTTAAACTGACCAAATCATAAAGCGCTACCAAAAATAAATATTTAATTGTTTTTGAGTTAGAGATTTTTCCTTATTACTGTCAGTGCTACAACTGCAGCTGACAGAATCTGAATTAAATTGAATTGGTGAATGTGAAATACAAAGGAAAGGAACTTGACTTTTCAATCACACAGAGATCTATTTTCTGCTCACACTTGGCTGAGGTTGGATTTTGCATCCGCTGTTGGCAGACCAAGTTGACTGCTTTGAGCACTGACGTCTATGTCTGGAATGTTGAGACACAAGGTGAATTCCCTTTAGAGTCAGAGTCTTACAGAAAGAGCTCTATACACCCTGTAGACTTACATAATAAATACACACTTATAAGGAAATAACAAAGTAATTAGAATCAGTTCTACATATATTAAAAAAAAGTGGGTATGTCACGTAGTTACCTACCAAAATGCATTGCTCCTCTTAATGGAAACCCCCCAGTAAGAATACTGTATCTCTTGGGTGAACAGGTTATTTTTTTGAGTATGGCTATAACACTTGCTATATATACACTTCCGTGTTAAAGGCTTGAAACAAGGAGCAAGTGCTAATATAGCATTACGTGGTTTATATGACCTTCTCCGAGATTGTCTTTTGCTTTTTTATATAGTGTGTTTTTTTATCTGAGAACATAATTTGCTCGAAATTAAGACAAGGGGGGTGGGAGACAAGCAAACACAGGAGGCTCAGAGTTGTAGCATCCATCAAGGAATAGCTGTCTATACTACTTAAACGTAATTTCCTCAAGAGGAATAGGAGACATAAGCTTGAGACTTTCTAGTTAATCATTCCCGCTTTGTTCTGCCAGTCACTGAAGTTTCCAGCCAATCAGAAGAAGAAGACTGACATCACATAAATTATGACATAGCCAGTATGGTGTTTTTTTTCTGAAGCTTTGGCCTCCTTTTACTGATAATTAGGTCCCTCTTAAACTTGTGCATATGTACATAAATAAGTCCCTCTGATGATTCTGATTGGTCCCCGTGCAGTATGAAAGTGACTTAGTCATGAGGTTAGAAAACAAGAGCAGCATTCACAACTTAACAAAATTTGTTTACAATGCAGCATGGGAAATGCAGTTCTTTGTCTTTTTTCTTTTTTTTTTTGTCTCACATATGGATATGCCGGTTCATCTGGAAGGCACCTCACAGCGAGATTGCTGTCGCCAATCTGCTCCTTCTGTGAGTGTGTGTCTCCCAGAATGCATTGCCATGCTGAGGGCAAAGGGTTGCCAAGGCGATGGAGTGTGTAGGAGGGGTTTGGAGTGGGGGGGGGGTTCGAGCTTCCACTCAGCACAGCTTCATTTGCATAATGTCGAACAGTCTGATGTGCACCTTCGACAGAACTGAACCATCTCTAGCAGTTCACATCGAGCATCAATTCTTTAAGTGGAATTTTTTGTTTGTATGCTTTTGTGTATATATGAGAAAGAATAAATGTATGTAAATAATGGACGTAATGTCTTAGAAAGTGTCGGACAACACACCATAACAATTACTGTCAACATTGCACCTTATCCCCAACCTCAGTAGCATTAATCAAATGTCAAATATCTTACAGTTTATCCCCCCTCTACATCTTGGATAATATCTCTATATCTCTTGAGGTCGTACTTAGCATGACTGTATGTTGTTTATGCTACATGCTCATCTCTATGGCAACCTAATATCTTTGCTGGTTAAGATTTTGCCATCCCACTGGATATTTTGTTTAATCAAACTAAGCCCCTGAATATATAGACAGTGCATCTGGTGTTGGGTGGGCTCAATTTGGACCTGTGTGTCTAGCTGGACAAATGGATGTACTTGTGGTTTGTTCTAGATCTCTAAGAAGCTGTTTACACCTTGCATTAACATTGTTTGATGCCCAGACTGTATCTAGATATAATTTGTGGTCAGGTGAGATCCGATTTTAGTTTCCCACATAAAAAGTACATTAACATTTATGTTGTTTCTGTTTTGCTTCTGGTAAACTTCTTTAACAGGGGTTTTTTACCTGCCAACTAGGAATGTAAATGATTAACCAATTAACCGCTAACCGGCAAAAAATAAAATGTACGTTCAATGCTAACGGTTAAAAAAACACATGAAGCTCCTCAGTTTAAACACAACCAGGTTCTTGGGTAGGGTATGTTTAATACGATTTCAGGCTGTTTACTTCATATACACACTTATGCCTGACCCCACCTATCAGTACTATGCTCCATGTTACACACACTTTTTAATCTCTTGCCATTTATAGAGAATTTAGTTGATGTGAGTGCGCTAATGTGTGAATATATCAAGTATGCCACAATGGCTCCGAATGTGGCTCAGCCATTTAGACACAGATTTCGATGAGATCCATTTTATAAGTGATTTTTTATGGGTTGTGCCCTTCGTTTTTAGGTTTGCCAGCTGATGATTAATCGCAGACCACTGATGGTTGTTCAATGGTCAAAATAATTATCGGCCACAATTTGCATCCCTACAGGAAACAAATTGTATGCTTTCTGCAGTGGTCAGTACCACTACTATGTCCACTTTTCTGGGAATATGTAATCGTATGGTGAATTTGAAAACACATTTATTTACACTTGTCTTGAATGCGGTCAAGATCCATCCCTGACTGCCACAAATTGTGACACAGTACGTCCTGGTTTGTTTGTGATTGTGATCACAAAAATGCATACTGATTCAAGGTGTAAGCAACCTCTCAGTCTTCTGTCTTGACTGCAATCGCTGTATAACTGACTAAGAACTGATGACAACCGTGGTCATAAAAACATGTAAGCAGAACTATTCGATTTCACTAAGTTGATTTATCTGAGCAAATAACTTCAACTGGGCTTCCTCTTACGTTCAATACATTAAACAATTTAAAAAACTGATTAACCTAAAATGCTGAGCCATCCACACTGACAAAACTGTTTTCGTTTTTCTAGCAGAATTGCAGCAGACTGCTAGGTGCAAATGACCCCACCATATTATCAACACTACAGCCACTGATGATCCAATCATAGATGAAATGACATCATGTGCTCATTCTAGCAACACTCCCAGTAATGGAGAGGGTTATAAGGAATTGATTGTGTAGACTAATCTATTCTTCACAAGTGCTGCAATGTGATCAGCCATTGAATGGTCTCACAGATTGTGCTCTATACAGTGCTATGTTATGACATCATTGTCCAAAGTCAAATCTCTCCATCATGCAACTACATAGCCTCCTCAGATCATTCAGCATATGGGGAGTTGTGCCCTGCTGCAAATCTAATCACGGGCTAAGGGAATTTGGCAAAGACACTATAATGAAGATAAGGCTGTCATGAGAAATGTAAAATAGGTAGCTCTATAAAGTGGGGACTGTGTGTATGTGTGTGCGGCCATGTAGCTACATATAACTTTTCTGCTAATGTGCATATCCCAATTTATGTATGTTTCTGTGTGCGCTTGTCTGTGCACATTTGTGCGTGTGTGCATGTCTGTGTGTGTGTGTGTGCCAGAGACACGACTGAACCATGTGTAGTGCGAATTGTCAGTTCTGCTGCAAGATGAGGTTCTCCAGCTCGTCGGCTGAGCGGAGCAGGAAGGCTGCGGACTCGCGGAAGCCTGCAATGAGCTGCCGGACGGCGGTCACTTCAGGCGGGCTAAGCTGGGCCGACGCTCCGCCACCACCACTACCCTGACCATGGCTGTTAGAAGTGGAGGACAAGGAGGAGCTGGATCCCAGGGACTTCATGCTAAGGTCAGTAGGGCCTGAGAGAGAGAAAAAGGGAATGATGGAGACAGAGGAGAGAAAGGTAACTAAGTGGTAACTAAGTAATTAAGTCCCCCTAGTGTGTGTGTTCACTAATGTGTGTGTATGGGGTGTTTCACTGCATGCATAGGTTAAATGTGGAGGTCAAATTCCTCTGAAGGCACAATTGGTCAATGCTTCTAAATTCTAAAAAAATGTAATTGCATGCATTTTAGGCAAAACAACTTTGACACCAAGGCACAAAAAGTCACTAACCATTGCTCTGAGTTGTCCCACTGTTCTGCAAGCTGTTGCCTAGGGCCCCGTAACCACGGAAACTGTAATTGAGCCCACCGTTGGTGTACAGCTGGTCCTGGGAGTAGGCTGAGGCAGCCAACGAGAAGCCTGAGTGGGCCAGGGCGGCTGGGTCCCTGGAGTTGGGCTTATCTGCAGTGATCGGTTCATCCTACAGAGGGCAGCAGAGAGCGTGTGGTAAAAAAGGAGACTTTACAGACTGCACACTGTAAGGATTAATACTACTACTACTACTATTACTACTAATAATAATAATAGTAATTTATACTGTGTACATCACAAAACACAATATCTCCCCCAAGATGAATTTATTTTGAATTAAAGATTTTTTTATTTTTTATCTGTCACTTGTTATTGAAGGACCCATATCATGGAAAAACGAGTTTATTTTTTCATGTAGACGTAGTTAAAGTTTCAAAACGCACTCCCCAGTCCATATGAAGAACAAAGCTGCAAAAAGCCTGGTTTAAAATTCACAGTTTTTGTGACACATTTACATCTACAAGAGGTTAGATCTGCCCATTATCACGTAACTTACAAGTATTATTTCAGCCGGGCTGCTTTTTAAAGTCTCTGTGTTCAATCTTGAATTGCAAAAAGGAGAATGTTGTAATTTAAAGTTTTTGGAGTAAAGTCTTGTCAATTTTATGATACTATTCTTTCTGTACCCCTTTTAACTTTGTTTCTTACACTCTCTCTCTCTCTCTTTCTTACACACACACTCACGTGGGTCTGGTAAATGTCGAGGCGCATCCTTTTGGCAGCATTGCGTGTCTCGCTCTCACAGGCAGCTGCCAGGATGTTTTCAGCCATGGCGGAGGTGAGGTGGGGGGGCGTGGGGCGTGTCTGAAGGGAGGTAAAAGTAAAAACAATAGACATGTCAGCACTACAAGGCTAAAGCACACTGCAGGACTGCACTTCAACTAGCCTGATCTAAAGGTGAAAAAAATCTAGAGGTATTGCTTAATCTACAGTCACTAGATGATAACAGTGAGCTCAAGAGAAATGTTCATATTTAGCCTGAAACACCACAAATACATCTGCTGTCAATTCTAGGAGACATTTACATTTATTCATTTGCTTTTATCTGGAGTGACTTACAGTACAGGGAAGATATATTTTAATATGAGTAGAAGTGCTCTTTAGGAATAAAACCTATGACCTTGGTGGTGCAGCTGAGCTACAGGAACACTAAGACATAACAAAAAACAAAACAAAAACAAAAACTAAATAAAGCAAGCAAGGATTTTTAAGCATGTGTGCATAGTTTTCCTGAATGAATGAATGCAGAACATCACTGTTTCCTTTCATTCAAGTTTCATTTAAGCAGGGATGTTAATAGCTTAGTGTGGCTCAAAAAAGGCAGAGAGCCAACCAAAGGAGCGCAAGACTGACCCTTAGAAGTCATAATTATTGCCAAAAATAACAAAAGCATGGTGTTATTATACAAAAAAAAGAAAGTTGGAGGTGCAGACTCAAAGCCGTATGTTGAATGTAAATCAAACATAAATGTAATTAATTATGTAATTAGTTTTATAAGTAAATATGTAATAACGTAATTAACTAGTCCAGTAAAACAACAATAAATCTTCAACTCTAAGTGTTAAACCCTTGAACAGTCTCTTGTCTGTGGGAGTCTGAGAGTTTACACTCTTAAGCATTACGATTATTTTTTGAGAAGCTTGAAAATCATGGTGCAGCAATGTAATCTTCATGTATTTTGGTGTAGGAGTTTTCAGTTTCCGTACCTCAAAGCCTCCCTTTTTCATGCGTCTGCAAGATTTGAGGTAGGTGCGTATGCGTTTGCGAGCGCGCTCCTGGAACTCAGGGAACTGGCGGCTGCAGGACTCGATGATGGCCTGGATCTTTTCTTTGGGCTGCTTGGAGATGGGCACCATCCGGTCCAGATTCTCATCCACAAACAACCGCACAAACATCTGAGAGTGAGAGTGGAGGAAATGACAGTAAATTTGAGCAAATGAGAGTAAATGAGGGAGAAAAGAGAATGGACGGAAAGCGTGAGAGACAGGATGTGGCTGAAGCTGAACGCAGGAAAAAACATGGAGCATCCAGCGCAGCTTCTTAACCCTAACCTTCTTAACAGCACCAACATCTGAGGGAGGATAGAATGATACTGAAAGAAAGAACGAAGAGGAGAAAGTGTAGATGATGAAGGGAGCAGGGCTGAGAAGGGTAAAATATAGGAAACAGTGAGAGTAAGGCAGAAAATGAGAAACTGAAGAAACAGAAGAAGTACTCAGATACAATGCCATAAGAAAAATGAATATGTTAAAAATAAAAGGAGTGTCTGTTTAAAGCGTTAGAAAGAAAAGAGAATTAATGTGGGGTCTCACATTAAAAGCTTTGAGTCTCTCGGGGTCCAGTCCCTCTGCATCATTTATCTTGTCGCTGTCATCGTGATCATCATGATCATCGTCGTCGTCGTCTATGACCTGAGTGCGCGCTGTGTTCAGATCCTCAGTGCACATGCTCAGTTCAGTCTTCACCGAGTCGTAGCTTCCTGAGCTGTACTGAGGAGACTAAATAAATGCACACAAAAGAGAAAGTACCTTTTAACTTATAACCTTTAATGCACAAATCCCCCTTCTTCTGATTCTGTATCATTCCAGGGGTGTAAATCCCTGACCTCTCAATGATTAATTTGACCAGAGGAACTATGTATATTGTAGTTGAAAAAAAACAATACACAACAATACAAGATTTTACATTAAAAAACAGCCAGATAATTGGTCAGAAAATGAGCAGTGCACATTGGATATTATTATAAATCAGGTGTTCTTGAACTTTGAAAGCTTTGAAATGTGGCTGTCCAAAACCCTAATCCCCAAATTTCTCATGAAAACTTGTGAAAATAATACTTACATTTTTTTTTCTTGTTTTCTTTTTGATTTCTTTTAAAGTCTGAAGTCTTATCTGAAGGATATTTAGATTTATCATGAATTTTACTTAAAAAAAACTTTATTCAAAAAGTGCTGTCCAACATTTCCATGTGACTACCAGTGTGTAACCTTAAAAATTGTTATTACCGAAACACATATTTTTGTATTTTGATTGAAGTTTAATATTACTAAAAGTAAACTATTTTTATGTTTCAATGAAAAATTTGATGTTGTGTGTGTAACTGTTCAAAGCTGTCTTTGCTAGGCACGTCCTGGCTAATGTTTTAAATGTTCATTCATTTATTTTAATAAACTAAACAGTATTAAGCTATAGGATCATTCAAAGCTAAATGCTTTTTCCAAAATGTGTTTTTAACTTTGATCCAATTTAGTAGAATGATCCATATACAACTAAATTGTCTTACAAAACTGACTGGCTGCCACAAGCTCCTCTTCCATCTCTTTTATACTTCATATTTTTCCTGTCCATCATATCAGCTCCATTGTTTCATGTGCTTTGATTGGTTGGAGGTTAGATTATTTATTAGACTTACATTGTAGAACCAACAATGGCACATCCTGCATTAGCATTCTCATAATTACAGACAGCTTTTCAAAAAAGATGTCATTTTTAACACACTAAAACTTTCCTGTTAATTCCAATGTGCTTTTCTGTCACTCTGAGAATTCATGAAGAAGACAAAGATTTAAAAAACTTGAGTCATCAGATAGTAAAAGCGACCAATGTATTGAAGATAACAGCAATAAAACTACTAACTGCCAATTCTGTTATGTCAGCTAACATACGGGAAGATAGAAGCCCATCCTATCCATATATTTTGAAGTAGGCCTTGGATTCCTGGCCACAAATGGCTGCGGCATTGCCAGGAAGGCCAAGTCAATAGGGCCAAAACCCTCACCTTGCTGTTGTACTCTGTTTTAATAGCGTATTTCCTGTTGGGGTCTGCAGGATATGGTCCGAGAGGAGGGGTAACCCCCGGCAACAGTCTATCGCTCAGGTTGACGGGCTGTTGGCCTTCCTCTGAGGAAGAAGAGGATGAGGTGGTGCTGAAGTCCAGCGGTGCTGCAGCTCCATTACCATTCACTTCTCCATAAGGAACTATGCCTTCTGACACTGGAACGCCACCTGTTACCACGGCAGCACCGCCAGGTGGTGTCAGTGCAGGGAGACCGTTAGCAGTGCTGCCACTCTCAGAGGAGGAGTCATCTGAAAGGAGAGAAAGAGAGACAAAAAGAAAGTTAACACTTAGAAGTTGCAGTTACAACCAAAATCATTTTGTAACTTTACATTATAGTGAATAAAGAGAAGAAGTGAAGAATACAGTTTATCTGCAAATATTTACACACCTGCACAGCTCTGTACATCTCATATATTTAATCAGTGCTGTATATATGAGTTTAACTTCAAAATGCTGTATATCTGTAACAACAATGGGTTTGAAGAGAGTGACAGCTGATGTCTAATACACTTTGTCAAAAACACTCTTTATTACTCTTATAAAGTTGGTATTAACTGTTTATCATAATTTTTTGTCTGACTTTAAAACAAATGTAAATGTAATTCATTATTTAACTATGTAATTAATTACATAATATTGTGATTACATTTAATAGTAAGTCTTCTAAGGATTTTTTATATCAATAAATTACAAGAATAATTTCCCTTTATGGGTTTGTATATTTAATGTATATTTTAGCCCCTTTTTTCATCCACTATGTGTACACCTATACACATGCCGCCTGTACCATGTGTGTATCTTTGCTATTGTGTGTTTGTGTGTGTCTGTGTTTGGGAGGGGTTAGAGGTGTATAGCTGTAGTGTACCATGCTCCACTTAAGCAGTCTATGTCAATGTATGTGTTTGTACAAGACAGCGACATTGGGGTCAACCATCAAACCATGGGGGTTGGGGAAGTGGAATGGAGGACTAGAGAGAGATGCAATACAACAATCCACACAGAGACAAAAAGAGCAGCATAGGGGATGGGGGGAAGGATGACACGAATGAGGGGGCATGTAGAGGAGAGAAACTGCTCCACATATCATTACCAGAAGAAGAGATAAAACACAGATGCTGGGAGCTTTCCTGAATAGAATACATTGATAAGGACTGCATAATACAAAGCCATTGCACAGTGGATGCGCTTTAATTATTATGTATGTAAACGCATGAAATGTAACACTTTTCTAAAATCTCCATGTTTTGATAGCACAGAATGGCTCTTACTTAAAAGCATCTGATCCCTCATTCCCAAAAAGCCCCCTGGCTAGAAGCTTTCTCCTCTATCTCTCTTTCCTTTCTGGAAGGAGGCTTCCGCAAATCAACCCTCGCTCTCTCAAACAAACATCAGCTCCCTCAGGAGACAGACAAATCAGTCCTCAACCAGAACATCACAGCCCCTCCTTTTCTACACACGCTAAAGAGGCAGTGGCTGTGAAAGGAGTACAGAAGGCCAGAGTGAATACACACAAGCCCATACACACATATACACACACTCCTGTTGGGGAGGGGGTAGGAGGAGTTTTTGGGAGATGAGAGCAGGAGATACGTGGAGTAAAATGTGGATGGAAAAGGGGCATTGGGTAAATATCTTTTGAGAAACTACTAAACATTCCTATTGTCACTGAAGAATGAGAATGATCCACCATGGCATGCCATGAATTGGCATGCAAGACGGTTAGAAAATAGAGAACACTAGAGGATCAAGGTGGTGGAGCCACTACGTTATAAATTCAAAGCCCTGCCCACAAATAAATTCTTCTATAGCTGCTGCTGTTGACCAGAATCCTATCCAATCTAATGAGAAATTGTAAGTTGTTGTTTTGTTTTGTAAAAATACAACTGTACCATTCAGTATCTGTCTCTCAATTCATTACGAACAGGTATCAAACAACACATTTAACAGACTGGAGCAAATCATATACTCAGTTTAAAACAGATTTTATTGCATTATTTATAAATGAAAAAAAACAAGCCCACAATAAGGCTTTCTTTACCTCAAAATTAAGAGCAGGCAGAAAAAGCACAATCCTCATAAGCATGTATTAGCTTGTGGATAGCACATTGCTATAAAATATACTTTTATAATGCTGAATGTTTCATTACACTGAAAAAGGACACATTTACATGTTAACACAATGCAGATTTTCAGGCACTCTTTATTTTTCGAAGAATGTACTAAATCGAGATACCACTGTGTCATAACAAACTGAATTATGAATTTTCTGCAGGACTACACCCTACAAAGTTCCCACTGGGCTGCGAAAAAGTTTGTTTAGATTGTTTTATATGGTTCCATATAGAACCTTTTTAAAAATGGTTCTACATAGGACCAAAACAAGTTCTTCTGTTGTTACAAGCTCAATGTTTTTGGTGCTATATATAATCATTTTCCAAAAGGTTCTAAATAGAACCACATTCAACACATTGTCCATCAATCTGAAGAACAATTTCACCATGCAAAGAACTATTTAAGCATGAAACAGTCCTATACAGAACTCATGGCTGTGTGCTACAAGATCTCATTATGTTAAATTGATTTTTGCCAGTATTTTGTACAGCTTGTCAAACTTCACAACAGCTACTAGAAAAAACAAATTTGTGGGCAGAGCACGGATAGGTCAGTTCACGAATATTCTGCCTCATGGCTGTAAACAACACATTATTCAAAGCAGGCTGAAGAACAGTAGTAAAGAGTGGACAAGCTTTGTCTTTGAGAGCTTCCAGTTAAAATGCCAAGGGCAATGTGGACCTTCTAGAGAAATACAGTACATAGGGCTGACCTAATGACCTGCCACTGACTCTTGACCACTGCTCCTAACACTCATTCCTCTTTAGGATAAATCCCCTTGGAGCCTACAGTGCTCTCTGTCAAGGGCAAGTCATCCTGAGCGTTATGCGCCGCTCTTCCGCCACTTTCCCCATCCCTCTGAGGGGTGTGTGAGTGTGTGTGGCCCAGTGACTCTCTCTAACTCCCTCTGAGTGAGATTACACAGGATTAGCCCACAAAAGAAACAGCACAAGCTGCTCCTCCTCTCAATGACCCACCAGCCCCTCTCCTGCCTCTGCGGCCATTTTAGAAAGCCCCGTTCCCCCCTCCCCTCTGCCATGATCAGGCCAAGGACGGATGGGAGCAGGGAGCGAGTGAGACACAGAAAGAGGGGGAGCACGTACTGTATGTGTACCGCAGTGTCAGAAAATGGCTCGAAGCAACTGACGTACTTATGGCAGTTCAAAGGTCTATTAAGGCTATCACTATTGAACATACTGAGTGATCTACTGATTATTTTAATAACCAAAAGTTGTTGTTTTTTAAAGCAAGGACTTAAGTGTTTCCCACATATCTGAAAAGCACTGAGGTAATGAGGTGTTTTGGTGTTGGGGGTGGACATCAGAGCAAAGCCTGAGACAGTGCAAATAAGTAACAATTTCTAATAATATTATAACATTTATTCAAAATGTTTGCACTTGACTAATACAAATACACACTTTCTTATTTACAGGACTATGTAGTAATGTTAGTTATTTAAAAATATCACTGACATTACCATTAATAACATTGTTTTATTCATAAGACTTTTATTTACAAATATGGCACTGGTCAGGACAATAAGTAGCTAGCTTGCATTATTCAAGTTCTGTATTGCTTTCTGCCGCATTCTCTCCCGCTGTCTTCTTCATTTTTCATTGGTCTCCCGCTTCCCCTCCCCCAATCCAAGCTGTCTTCACTTAATGGCCAATTTAGGGTCAAAGTGCATTGCTTTGTCAAAACAGATTAATAAAAAATGCTAAAGATTTTTTAAAAATGCGTTGAAATATATGGTGTCCATATACCTGGGCACACTGTTAATGTACAACCTATGTGTGGGAAACACTGGAATTAACTGGACCATAACAAATTATGCATACTTTTTTTAGGATTCCAAAATGCTTATAAATAAACAATAACCTATGATACAACAAAAAAAAAATCTGTGGCAAGAAAATTCAATAAATTTGTGTGCTTATTACCTTCTTCTTGTAAGAGAGACCAAGAGGAAAATTTCAAATATGCATTGTCATCATGCCCTAAAAAAGGTGTTTACACTTCATATGTACAACAGCTCCACATGAATACAAAACATTACATCAACACAGTTCATGCCAAAAGAAAGTAAAATGAATGACAGTAACTATGTTGACAACCTCAGTGTGCAAATTGTCAACTAATTACTGAGGATTCAGTGCTTTGTTAAGGAGAGACAAAATTCAGTGTATAAATGAATGAATGAATGAATATAATCCAACCAATGGAACCCTTAGAAAGTCAACAAAAGTTTGTGATTGTTTAAAATGTGCATCAAAAACATGCTAATACGGATCAGCTGGCAACAACTCCTCAGTTAAAACCAAACATCACATCAACACATAAATATAAGTAAAACAGCAAGTCCCCCATATGTACTACGCAGAGACTAAGTGATGGCGTAAGAAGCTCTAAAAAGCCTTCAGACCTCCCTTAATGGGGCCAGATAACTCAAGCACTCATTTGAAAGGCACCCTACCAGTATATAATGGACAAGTAACAGAGCAAAGCACTGAGAATAGGCTGTAATGGACTATAAGACATCCCGTCAAAACAGTCTTCACAACACACGTACCTGACTTTTAACAATCTTAGGTCTCATTCAAGTTAAATCTCTACACCCCATTTAACCCTTCATTTGTGCTAAAAGACGAAATAGCTTTTAAAAATGTTTTTTCTGCTGTACTGGAAACCTTTGTACAACATACAGCTAAAACTGCAGAGTAGAGAAATTCCAGAAGAAGAAATAAACCTACTTTGTTAACAAAGCTATCAGTTAACCCTCCAGTGAAAGAAGAAAGCTACAACAAAGCTATCACAGGCTTTTTAAGGGTTTTAAAATATCTTAAGCAAAAGCAAAATCTACCAGTGAAAAAAATCTGAAGAGCTAATTAGGATCTGACATTGCTGTGTTTACCTGTGGGCAACTTCCCTGACTGGACTAATTAGGTCAATACTTATAAACCAACATGTTTTGAGAGTCAGAGGGACCTTCTTTCCCCATCTTCACAGGAATTCTAGATATTTATGCACAATGGGTCCTCCGCTGTATAAATCTAGGCATTTTTAACAGAGAGTATAGACAGCATGGGACTATATTGGTAGTGTAATGTAGTTTTTCCTAATTCTGCTTCTGGGGACCCACTGCCCTCCCTATAACTAATTGGTTATAAGCAAAAGTCTGAAAGTGCAACTTTTTCTCTATTGCCATTCATAATTCTGCACAGAAGCAGAAACACAGTGTTTAGTTTTCACAGAAATTTAAGCAGACCAAGCAAACTGGTTAGTATTTTAAGTGATTATTTTCAGAAAATGAAGTCTAACCGAATTAAATAAGACAAAGCAACTGCAATAGTATGTTGTGTGCTTTGTTAAGTGAGAAAAGTTCAGGGAAATGGTTCTTCCCTCTAAAAAACCCAGATGAGAAAGAGAAAGAGACATATGGTGAGAGAGAGAAACAGAGCAATTACATAGCTCTCTGACCCCAAATGTACCCCCAAAAGACACCATCGTCAGACCAGACGAAAAGGACAAATATATTCAGATCCTAAAAAAACAACAACGTTAACTGCATGTCAATTATACTAAGACTAAAGTACTAAATGTGACTGCCACACACTACAGCGTATTACAAACCTCTCTTGCAGTTTAAAACACTGAAGTGGGAATCTGCCAGTTTTATAAGTTCTGCATAATTAAATGGTAAAGATGTAAACAATGTCATTTAGAGTGGCTTAATTTGAGATACACTGTTCTAGAGAAACTTAAAGAGTCATAATAATTCACAGTGGTGGTGATGGGAATCAGACAACGTTTAATGCCTCTAAAAGCTCCCTCACAGAAAGTTATCACATGAAACAGTTACAAATACGCTGCCTAATGCCTGAGACAATAGTTTTGAGATAAGGCTTTGGCCTAAAACATTTTTAAATCCATTCATGGTGGAGAGGTACATACAGGGAGATGTAAGGCTAAGAAGTACCCAAACTCGGAAGCTATGTGTCCCTGGTCATTTTAGATTGTACACAAAATGACTGTATCTGCATTGAACAGATTGCAACTTCTGGCTTGTATCACAAACGTAATGAAATTCCAAGTTGGTAAGTTTCTCTACAATACACCATTTTACATCAGATCACTCAATGACTTTGTTTACAAATCAACGATTTAATTATTTAGAAATTTAAACAAAAAAAATCAGTGAAATTTCCCTTTAAGTGCTTCTGATAGCTAGCCTCCCAGTAGGTCCTTATGGAATGCCAGCGAAAAAGAGAAGCACAATACAAGAGAAAGAGTACTGTCTAACCTTCCTCCTCTTTGATGCTGGGCCGTGGAGGAGTGGGCTTCCTCTCTGGCCGCTGCTCGGGAGTACCGCTGGGCGCTGGTGTGCGCTCAGTAGAGACCCATGCTGGCTCGGCCATGTCCAGATCCTCACTGCTTACCGAACTCTCATCCTATGAGGTTAAGACAGAAGGAAAGGGGTGGAGAGAGAGAGGCATGGAAAGGGAGGGCAGTGGACAGAATGGAACAAGAGGGAGAGGGAAGAAAGGAAGAGCGTGCTTAGTAAGTATAGCTGATAACGCATCAACAGGACAGGAAAAATAAATGTAAAGCAACAGTCTTAAAATGGGGCTAATTTAGCTAATGAGGAATAAAAGCTTATATCCCACCAACTAGCACTGGGTAAACTGCACAAATAAATCACTACAAACTTACTTCAGTCTCAAATGGACTTGCTTAGGTTTCTGACACTGTATGGCACTAGACAATCTATCAAAAATGGACAAAGGACAGATAAAAGTCAGGCTTGAAAATGGCTGCCAGTAGTGTTTTAGCTATTTAATGTCTAATTTTACAGATTTATTATATAAGATAGAAAAATATGATGCTTTAACAATAATATTTGTACAATGCTAATTAGTGGTTTCTTGCTTACTTCTTGGTCACATCTAGGGGTGGGAGACAGCAAAAATATAATTTTACAATCCTTAACCTTTTCTATATCTGTACCGGGAATGGCACACTTCCGTCACTTCGGGTTTTAATAATAATTTTTAAGCATGAATTCGACCAGCAATATGGTGATGCAATACACCATTACAAAGCTTGAAATCTCAAGATTCGAAACCTGCAAAGCATTTTATGATCTGTTATTCACAGCAGTTACTATTGTATCAATTGCAACATAAGCACCAAACAAGCATACACTAACAAATCTGCTAGATATGTGGCGTCAGTTGTGTCTGCAAAGTGAAGTAGGTTAGCGAACCTAGAGGAATAGGCATTAATCAGTTTAGAGATTTGAGTCTGGCAGAAAGAAACTCCTGCATTCTAGCCTCTGTTACTCTGTCAGTAATTCATACAATTAGTTTGACTTTGGAGAAAATCTTGAGCATGTTACCATTCAAAAGAAACAAGATCATGACGGTAGCCTAAGTATGTGGGAACAGCATCCACTTTTAGTTTGAGTTTGACATTACATACAAAAACTTGGAAAAAAGGGACAACAGTTAAGATGTTAAAGAAATTTTCACAACACACAATGCATGTCATAATATTTTGACATACAGACACAATATACCAGCAATGCTGCATTTAAAAATTGCTATCAAAACTCTGGGTACACTGATTTTTATTCAACATTTCACATACTGTGCTGCACTAAATCAACCCAATTAAACAAGATTTATTATACTCTTTTTTGAATAAACATGCAGTTGGTCAGTACTATTTAAGTACTGACGATACCCATGATATGCTCACAAAATTGTTCATCATGATAACGATAAAATACCATCATACAGCCCATCTCTTCTTTAATTACAGATCCAGAGCAAAACTAAAGAAGTGAACTTTGGACAGTTCGATTTTTTCAGCCAACAATAGCTTTAAACACTTCGATGCTACTTGTCTTTCTCTCGGCTGTTTTATGATGGAATTGCCGTTTCACAGCTGGCACAAAAGCATGCAGACTCATTTCAAAATGGACAAATAAAAACTGTCGGTACATGTCACTACATTTCCTTTTTCCCACATGTACAGGTTGGCCTAAATATTACATCCCAGTCTTATTCCTCTCAGGAGATGTTTAAGGGAAACGGAAAAACAGGGGCCTCCTTTATTTATTTTTTTGTTCCAAAGCCAGAACCAATTCATTCACATGGTTGTGCCACTCTGCCGGCAGCAAAGCCCTTCCTGAGGAAGTGCTTCCTACTGCCACCAAACTGGGAATGGGAGGGAAGGAGGACGACTCTGTGTTAAATAATGAGTGACTCGGAGCGGTGCTATTTTTAACTCTGCCGGAGCCGGAACCCCAAAGATGCTCACTGTAGCGTGACACAGAGAGGAGTGGACAGGGAGGAGGGTCGAGGCAGGATTGAGGAGAGGATGGGAAATGGGGCAGGTCTGAGAAAAACACGTTTGCGTAGCATACAGCAACACCCATTTACATATAAACATACAGCAGCTTTTTTGACAAGGCAATGGTTCTCAATCATGGTTCTGGAGAACCCCTGCCCTGCATATAAGGGTGAGCAATATTACATATATCCTGTTATTGCTGTTGTGATAAATTATATTATAGTATGCTGAACATATTGTAAACATTGCTGGTATTTAAAGAACGCTGAATAACAGAATCTTTATTCAAATAATATGGAGAAGAGGGTTTCAAGTGATGTATGACATTTAGCATTGTTGGAGGGAGATCAAATCCATACAATGCCAGAAGACCAAGAAAGAACTGGACTTTTTTAACCTATGACCTAAGCATCTTGCTGGCGATTCATTCTGAGAATTTTACACTGGTGTAATTAACTTATGTATACACCACATATAACCAATATATGAATCTGGAGTTTTCTGTGTCATGCTAAGTTTTCTATCCCTATATAAAAGATTCCCAAGGCTACTTTTATTGCTGGGTGCACTGTGATTTTATCTGAGCAAGTGTGCTTAAACAGAGTAATGATAACTTCTGATTTATGACTTAAATTAATGTGTGTTTGCTTTTTCAATGCAACAATGGCATTGAAACATTGTGTTATTAATGGAGAAGAGCAGATTAAACAGCAGAAACAACTCACAGGACAGAATTCTCAGACATGGATTAAGCCCAGTTAAGCCTTGGACTAAACTGCGGTGTGTGTATAAGAGCAGGGAAAACAGTAAAATATTCAGGGCAGAGTCAGTCAACACTGGAATAAGGCAAGCTGTGTGCCCCACTGAAAACTTCTCTTCACATAAACAAGCAAAGCCAACCTCGACTCCCAGCTCATACAACACTATCAAGTGTAAACTGTAGAACGCTAACAAGTGTCAACTGATTATGTGGTGGGTTTAGGTGTGTGAGTGTAACAAGTTGACACATGTCAAGTGCCATGACCCCTCTTATCACCTACACGAGCTGCTGGCAGGTGTGAAGACACCTCTCCCTGTGCTGGATTGCTTTGACAATGGAAGAGTGAAGAAGCTCACTGCTGTTCTAAAGAAGGTTCCGGAGCTTCAGAAAAGCCTTGCCATCTGGCAATGCTAATATTAGCATCTGTACTTCACTCTTGGTCCAAAACCCTTCCTCTCCAATTATGGCTCAAAAACCTTCACATCAAATCACTTGGTGTGGAAAAAAAAGCCAGTGTCAGTAGTTCAAACAAAACACATTTGAAATCTACATAACTGGTTATAGGATGGTATGAAAAATTCTATTATGATATCAATGACCAACATTATCACAAATTTCAGTATTATCAGGCATACTGTTAAAATATTCCAGTGGTTCCCTTGATTTTTTTTCTGGCTGGGCAGTAGAACTTTAGAACCTAACAGTAGGCATTCGAACGTATGTGGGCCTGGAGTTGTATCTATAAAACTACAGTGAATATACAACAACTGTATGCAAGCTTTACATTGTCTATATATTTTTTTTTCAATTAGTGCAATGTATGATAAGGAGTTCATTTATAGTCAGTTAATTTATATCCTAACATTTTGAAAACACAGAGCAAATAAAAGGGTAAAGAGAGTGTGTAATACACATAGCGAATTGGCTGCGGAAAGCAAACCCCCTCGTTATCACATGAAACACACAAAGCAAACTAGACCAGACTTGTTGGTGCTTTTGTGCATGTACAAGAAGCAAGCTGGGGATGTACATAGGGTTTAAATGCAGATATTACAACCAGAGCTGTAGAAATATTTTGCTACAAACTGGTAGCTGACTTGAAATTGTAAAGAGATTTGCCTGGGTTCAAGTAGCTCCTCCGTTTCCGCAGTCTGTTCACACACATCTCTTCACTTTTTCCTCTCTCTCTTTCCTTGCTCTCTCTTTAGTCGCTGTCTGCATCACTTGTTTAATTATATCACTGACCACCTCATGCTACAGGATTATGAGTATTTTGAGTGGTAAAAATCAAAAGTTGGCCGAAAGCTAAACAGTGACTCAAGTTTTTTTTACTTCTCACAATACCAGATCATCTGTGCTGCAAGTCACTTCCAAACAAGCACAAAATTTGTCAGAAGGGGCAAACCAAGGAAAAATTCAGACTAAAAATCAGTTCTGAACCACAGAATAATTTGCATGTATTTCAATAGAAATGTACTAGAATATTATTCATACTTATTTAAACCACAAAAATACTGATTGGATTCTAAAGTCTATAAAAAACAAAAACAGATCTGATTTTGATTACTGATAGATTGTAGAATTTGATTGTGTCTGCAAATCAGACAGGCAATCTCTCACTGGTTTTATATAACATGTGAAACATCAGAGTTGAGTTTCACATAATTTATAACCATTTATTAAACATCATATTGCAATAAAACAAATCCAAACTAATACTTCAGTTTGCAGAAAAAACTTTTCTATACAGACCAAGTGGTCTAGAGTTACACGCTACTCTTCCAGCACAAGCCAGTTCATCTATGCTGCACACCTCTACATCACACCGCTTCATCAATGATCAGATCTATGCCATTTGATAATAGATAATTAAATAGATAACAGAGAATTTTACCAAAAAATGAACTCAGGCCACATAAAAAACAAATGCTGCGAATCAACCTGTCATTTTACATCTTTTCATCCAAGTCAGTGGATGGGTGTATTTTATGGTAAGGAAAATGTTGTATTCTTGAAATGTTAAAAAAACAGACAAATATATTGAAATCCTATTAGCACAGGTACTATATTTACCGATTTTTTTGAACCTCTAATATTTTGTGGTAACACCAACTCAAAACAACTTCCCTTTACCATGGTTTTCAGAAACTAGCAGGATCCCTGCCTTGCAGGGAGAGTATAGCGGCAGGCTATTTACTTTCACTGTGACTTTTAAAATAACATTGTAATCATACATGACTGAGTGATTACCATTGAATTTTATACTGAGGTGTACAACTAAAATCAGTCGCACAACTCTATCTGCTTTGTGCTTTCCCAGTAACAAGACTGGAC